CAATTGTTCTATAACTTTTTACCCTTCTTATTGTGTCTTTCAAGATCTCAAGACGAAGAGGAAGATTGATACGGGACATAAAGCTGGTAGCTTATATTACTTTGATTTTGATTTACCTACTCGGGCTTTACAAACCTCGTTATCTCCTTTTCAATGACATTGTCTTCTTGGACATCCTTCTCTCCAAAATTTGAAGTGTCAAATTCTCAGTCTTAGCTGTGTGTCGTCTTTGTCTTGTAAAGGTTGTCAACTTAGTAAGTATCACCGTGTGTCATTTCAGTTTAGAGTCAATAATTGTATGTCTAGTTCATTTGAGTTAATACATTCTGATGTATGGGGTCTAATAAATAATATTTCATCTAATAAATATCTTTATTTTGTGTCTTTTATGGATGACTATTCTCGTGTGACTTGGTTATTTTTTATGAAAGCTCGGTCTGAATTATTTTCTATATTTGAAACCTTTCGTAAGGAAATAAAAACTCAATATGGATGTCGTATACGTATTTTACGTTCTGATAATGCTCGAGAATATGAATCTGATTCTTTTTCAACTTATCTTAGTAAAACTGACATTATTCATCAGACTTCCTATGCTTACACGTCTCCACAGAACGATGTTGTTGAACGCAAAAACCATCATTTGTTGGAAGTCACCCATGCTCTGTTATTTCAGATGAATATTCCTCGATATTTTTGGAGTGATGTTGTTCTTACTGCTTGTCACCTTATTAATCGTATGTCATCCTCTGTGTTAAATGGACAAAGTTCATATTCTGTCATTTTTCCTGATAAACCCTTATTTTTCCTATCTCCTAAGATTTTTGGATGTGTCTGTTATGTTCATAATTTGGGTCCTGGGTTTGATAAACTTGATCCTCACGCTACTAAATGTGTATTTCTTGGTTATTCCCGCACACAGAAAGGATATCGTTGTTACAATCCTACTCTGTGACGATACTTTACTAGTGCCGATGTTACATTTGAGAAATTTGTTCCATATTTTTCAGCACCTTCTTAACCCTTGGATCTAAACTTTGGGTCACCTCTTGTACCACCATCATCTTCAGATATTCCATTGCCCACTGTATTACCGTCTACTTTACCTCTTCGTGTATACTCTCGTCGTCCTCAACCATCGACTGAGGTGTCCGTACCGTCTTCCTTGCCGCCTTCTGATCCTGGTTCATCAGGTAATTTAGACTCTTTACCTATTGCTCTTCGAAAAGGTACACGTTCGTGTGTTACTAATTATCTCATTGCTCATTTTGTTTCATATGATGTCTTATCTCCTATCTTCTCTTGTTTTACCTCTCAATTATCTATTATATCTATCCCTAAGCATTTACAAGATGCATTATCTGATCCGGGTTGGAAGAAAGCTATGGAGGATAAGATGGATGCCTTACATCATAATGGGATTTGAGATCTTGTTCCTTTACCCCCTGATAAACGAACTGTTGATTGTCGTTGGGTGTATACTGTTAAATTTCATCCGGATGGTTCTATGGAGCGTCTCAAAGCTCGGCTTGTTACAAATGGCTTTACTCAGACCTATAGTGTTGATTATGAGGAGACTTGTTCTCTTGTTGCCAAAATTTCCTCTATTCGTATCTTGATTTCTTTGGCTGCTAATCTTGATTGGCCCTTATTTCAGTTAGACGTCAAGAATGTCTTCCTACATGGTGACTTGGTTGAAGAGGTTAACATGGAGCAGCCACCTGGGTTTACTACTCAGGGGGAGTATGGTAAGAATGTATGTCAGTTAAAGAAATCTTTGTATAATTTGAAGCAGTCACCGAGGGCATGGTTTGGTAAGTTTTTAGATGTTGTTTTAGAGTTTGGTCTTCTTCGATGTCAGACAGATCATTCTGTGTTTCATAGACAGACAGATGCTGGATATGTTCTATTGGTGGTCTATGTAAATGATATTGTAATTACTAAAAATAATTTTGATGGGATTGCCAAGTTAAAAATCTTCTTACAGGATCGATTCCGTACTAAGGATTTGAAAAAACTCAGATATTTCTTGGGATTGAAATGGCTCGATCTAAACAGGGTATTTGTTTATCACAGAGAAAATATATACTTGATATGCTAGAGGAAGTAGGTTTGTTGAGAGGTAGACCGATTGATGTGCCTATGGATCCGAATCAAAAACTACTAATGGATGATGGTGCACTGTTTGAGAATCCGGGTCGGTATCGCAGATTGGTTGGGAAGCTTAATTATCTCACTATTACTCGACTAAAAATTTTCTATGCAGTCAGTATAGTAAGTCAGTTCATGGGGTGTCCTAGAGTACCTCATTGAGAGGCAGTCACTCGTATTCTACAATATCTTAAATGAGCTCCTGGACTTGGCCTGTTATATCGAGCTAATGGACATCTTAGAGTGGAAGGTTTCTCAGATGCTGATTGGGCTGGCTCTCGTTCTAATCGGAGATCAACCACTGGTTATTGTACTTTCTTAGGAGGTAACGTTGTCTTATAAAAAAGTAAAAAATAATCTGTGGTAGCAAGATCTAGTGCTGAAGCTGAATATAGGGCAATGACGCATACGACGAGTGAGTTGACGTGGCTGCTACACTTTCTTCAGGAAATTGGGTTTCCAGTTCAACTTCCTTTACAGTTGTTCTGTGACAACCAGGCAGCTATCCATATCGTTGTCAATCCGGTGTTTAACGAGAGAACCAAACATATTGAGGTTGATTGTTACTTTATTTGGGACAAGATAGTAGCTGGAGAAATTACGACTCCATTTGTGAAATCTAAAGATCAGCTTGCAGATATGTTTACCAAAGCATTGAGTCATATACGTCTTACAGAGATTTATTCCAAGCTTGGATTATATGATATTTATAATCCAGCTTGAGGGGGAGTGTAAAGAGTATTAGGGTAGTACATATAAATTGTTAATAGTGTTAGGGTATTATGTGTAAATACAAGAGGGTGTGTATGTATAATTCTTATAATTATGAGTTACCTATAAATACAAGTGAAATATAAGGGCTAGGTTAAGTTTTTAACCTCTCTCTGTTTCTCCCAAAAATATTGTCTCTAATATTATTATGTTAATCTTCCAAACTTAACAAGTTACAACAACAAAACCTCCATTAGGCAACTTGACAGAGGTGTGTATAACAGAAGAAACGGTGGATAAAGAGGACATAGAGCAAACAATATGATCTGTTGCTCCAGTGTCAATTATCCATGGGAATGAAGAAAAATAAGAAGAATTGTGACTCGAAGAATGCAAAGTATTTAGAACTTCACCTGACATGTTGAAAGGAGAATCAGTATGAGAACTGGTTACTTGATTTGCTGAGAGTGGATCATGAAGACGAGGCTATGACTTAAGGAGAGTTAATAATTGTTGAATTTGCCCTTGTGTTATTGGCAAAGATGAAGAAACCTCTCTGCTGCCTTCATTTATAACCAAATTTTATGTTTCATTCTGAATGTTTCCTGTCACCTGATTCACAAATCTGGAATTGTTTTTCGTTTTGTAAATCGAAATCCAGGAGGATAGCCATGGTGTTTGTAACATTTATCAATAGTGTGACTTTGAATTCCACAATGAGTAAAAATAGGTCTAGATTTGTTGGAGTTTGATTTGCCAAAATTTTGTTGATTAGATAAATTGGATTTGCTCAAGAGAGCTGTAGAATCTACAATAGGAAGACTTGAGAAGACTATATCTCTTTGACGTTCCTTTTGAAGAATGAGAGAAAACACTTTGTTGATAGATGGAAGAGGATCTTGAAGCAAGATCAGACTTCGGATGTGAGAGTATAAACCATCCAATCCCATCAAGAATTAAATTATGTAATCTTGCTGTTGAATATCTGCCAAGGTTTTTAGAGCACCACATGTACAGACTGGTAAGGGTCTGTAGTTCATTAATTCATTCCAAAAGCCTTTGAGCTGAGTATAATAGAACTTACACAGAGTTGTTCTTGTTGAAGAGAGGAAATCAATTTCTGCAACTGATAGATCCTTGGTCCATTAGTCTAAGAGAACCTTTCCTTGAGTTCTTTCCAAATTTCTTGTGCAGAATTGACATAAAGAACACTTCTAGCAATCTCCTTTGACAATGTGTTGAGAATCCAAGATATCACCATATTGTTGCCTCTAATCCATGGATTATACAAAGGATCCTTTGGATCTATTGGCTTGGACGATGTGTCATCAATGAATCCAACTTTGTTCTTAGCACTCAAGGCCATAAACATTGATCGACTCCAGAATTATAATTGTCTCCTATCAAAGCTTGAGAGACTAAAAGGGCACCTGGACTATCTCCATGATGAAGATAAAAAGGATGAGAGAAATCCTCAATCGAAGCTGAGGAATTGGATTGTGGACTTGTGATAGATGAATTTGAAGAATTTGATGCCATTGGAGAAGCAAATAACAGAGGAAGCTTACTAAAAAAGCTCTGATACCATGTTAGAAAATGAAGAATGCAGAGATCACAGAGAAAGAGAGAGAGAGATAGGGATGAAGAGAAAGCATCATTCTCATTGAATTGAAAGAGTCAATTACAGCTCCTATTTATATACAAGAAAAAACTGAATTAAATATCTAACAAACTTCTGTAACTAATCTAACTAATCTGCTAACTGGACTGTAACTAACTAACTAATTCTTCTTCCTTCTTTTGTTGTCAGCTGCTATGACTGCCTCTGCTTTGTTCTGCTATATTCTTCAATACCCTCTAAATGAACAAGACTGGAAGCTTCCAATTTAAAGCACGTGATGATGCAAAGCCTGCTGATGTGATATTCCTGTAGTGGACTATTTCTACTTAGTGATACGAATTTAAGATCAACTTGATCTTGTAGATACCCCCACATTTCCACAGCTAAAGAGTGTTTTAAATCTGGATGCAAGACCTAGTGAACTGAGTATTGCATGTTATTGCAGTGATAAGGATAAAAAATAATCCGTTCCCTAAAGAAAATCATCACATATAATCTGAAGACCCACAATCCACACCTCGCTAATTTCAAAAACTGTCCTTCGGGGTTAAAACTTGATTGTTTTCTGAATTGACAACTTGAATGCATTCGTATACAGAAAACCCTACGAAGTGAACATAAGAAGCAACCCATCATTAGCTACAAACCCAAGTCCAACACACCACCATACATTCATTACCATAACTGAAAGCCCAAAAGTTTGTAAAGCTCACATTCTTAAACCATGAAGAGAAATAAAAAGGTCGCAATTTTGAACAAACTAAGACTCACCCATAACCAGGCAAATCCACAATGTACCAACTTTTGTTAACCAGGAAATGATTAATCAGCTGAGTCTTCCCTGCACAAACCCACAAGCATATCCAACCCTAAAAACCCACAATAAGCAATGCAAATTACAATCAAATTCAAAATTACTAAATAAAAACAAACCAAACCTGGTTTTTTGGAGGTTAGAGCAACTTCTTTCTTGCGAACCAGAGCATTAATCAATGAAGACTTGCCAACATTGGACCGGCCCAGCATCGCAAACTCTGGCCGGTCATCCTTGGGACAGTCCTTGGGACGATTACTACTCTTAACAAACTCAACATCTCTAATTTTGGCGTCACCGACAAAGGGTCCGATCACGATGTTCGAACCGGGTAACATCATGTCGTCTGTAACCTCATCTGGGTTCACACCAGGTGGCACGAATAGGACGGTTCGGACGAACTTGGCGGCGTCGGAGAGAAGATGTTTTGGGGTCTTTGTAGCTGAGACATGGTGAGAAGAGAGAGGGTTAGGAATTGGGTTCTTAAAGGTTGAATGAGATAGAGAGGTTCGGGAAGAGAGAGAAAATGGAGGGGTTCTTTGAGATGGAGAAGGTAAGAGTGAAGTGAGATGGAGATTGAAGAAGCGAGTCCTCAGTGTCATTAGCATCGTTGTTTGTGTCGAGTTTTAGGGACGATTCACGTGTAAACCTGCCCCATATCATCAATCGATCATACTGGTTCTTGTAAAAACGACGTCGTATGGTAGTACAAACAGTCCTCCTTCCGTTTAGATTAGCTAAGACCATTTTGGGACTAAAAAACTTGATTTAGTATAGAGTATTTTAATTGATAAATTCAAATATTTACTCTTATATTTTTAAAAAAAATTTATTATCTCAAAACTCTTTTTTTTTATATCATTCAAATCATGATATTTGATAAAATAAATAAAACTTACATATTTCTCCACAAATGCATAATTAAAAAAAAAAAAAAATTGATATGTATACAACACTACATAAGATAAAGACATCACCTCAAAATTCTAAGATTATTTTAATCTCTTATCATTTTTTATAAATCCAGATAAAGAAAAAAATATGTTTTAACATGACCCTACTTTGAAGAACACAAAAACATAATTTTTAACAAAAATAGAAGATTTAAGAAACAAAATGACAAATTTTCTAAATTTGTCGCTAACGAAGACTTAAAATTTGAAGAAGAATTGGTAGTTTGAAATTATACTATCGATAATGTTTAACTCAAAAAAATCAAAGAAATATTTGATGAGTATGCTTAGGATTTATATAGTCTGAAAGATGGGTGAGATTAAGATTTTAAAAAATACAAAAAATCGAGAAAATGAAAAATGAAAAGGAATAAACTTACCTACATACCTTCAAATGATTTGTAAAAGTTTTGGCGGTAGTCGGCGATGAAAGTAGCGTAGTAAAGAGAGGCAAGAAGTATGGGTGTTCACTCTACTCTATAGGTAGGAAATATTGTCTTTCGTCTTTTTATCTGATACTTTGCGGAAAAACATTTTCTTGGTCTATCCTACCCAATCAGGTGTGGTATACTTACCCAACTTTGAAATCGGGTAAACACTTTTGTAACTATTAATTTTTGGATTATTTTAACAATTCAATTAAATAACATGCATCAATTTAACAACACAATAAATCAATAACACTAAAACCTAAATCAATTACAACAACAATTACAATAAAATATAAGAAAGCATAAACATCAATCCATCATAATTGTTATACAAATACAAACAATTATTTTAAGTTTAAATCATATGAAACAGATTAAAATCATAACTGCTCCAATAGTTCACTAGTTCACCACAGATCATGTAACATACACAAAAAATAAGTCTATATTTTCGCAACTCAAATATCCACAACAATAACAATATTATAATATAAATTATACCACACAAATACTCTTATAATTACTAAAAAAAAATTAAAAAAGTTAAATATATTTTTTGCGAGTAGGGTAAAGTAGGAATGCGAAAATTGATGGGTATTCTGCATTCTTATCCTATTTAATCGGAAGACCAAAAATTCTTCTACATTCCTGCTCGATTTTTGCGGTTAGTCGTTCAGTACAGTAGGGTAGGGTCGGGGTAGGATAGAAAATTGCAGTCAATCAAAAATTTGAACACCTGTAGCAAGAAGTGGCAAAGAATAAACCGCCCAAGAAATCTTTTAATTTTGTATAGGTTAAAAAAGTTACCATTAGAAATTTGGTTTAAAATTTGAGTCTGTTTCAATTTAGGTCAAAAATAAGTTTTGTCTTGATTTAATATAAGTTTGAGTCCAAGGTTGAATAAGGTTTTTGAACCATTTTGACTCAAATTTAAATTTAAGTCTACATTTAAATTAAGGTTAGAGATGCTATTGGCCATCATGTTGGTTGGAGATGCTACTGGCAATCGTGTTGGTTTTTATAACTTCGTTTCAAATTTTAACAAGTTGATATCAAAAGTTATCATATATATATACTAGTCATAACCCGTACTTGAAGGCATGATAAAATATAAATTTTAAGCGTCCAAAAAATCAATCCCAAAAAATTTAAGCGTCCAAAAAATCGATCCCAAAAAATTTAAGCGTCCAAAAAATATATTTGTCAAAAAATATATTAAATTTTTTTAAAATATATTAACTACAAATTAATCAAATATTAAATGATTAAATATATTATAGAAATGAGTGATGTGATATTTTCAAGGAGAAAATATTTAAATGTTTAAACATGTTATAGAAATGAATGATATGATTTGACGTTGAAGTTTGACAAAGAGATTATGGGTAAGGTAAGTGATTGGTAATGATTTTGAGGAAAAAAATATGACTGAGATAAAATTCAAACACACTCCTGTTTTATTATATATATATATATATATATATATATATATTAGTTATTGTTTGTGCCTAGAGGCACAGAATAATAAAAAATAATAAACAATAAATATATTTGTATTCAGATCTAAAATCAAATCACAAACATAAAGAAAAGATAAATCAATTTAAGCATCAGTTTGTAGTAAAGGTAAGAGGTGGTGGGCGACAGTAATGGTAGTAGGAGACGGTGATGGTTATGGTGGGTGACAATGACCGTGGTGGCAGCAGCAATGGTTTTGGTGGTGGCAGCGGCGACAATAGTGGTAATGGTAGTGGTGGTGGTGGCGATGGCGATGGTAGTGACAGTGGGGGTGGTGACGGTGATAGTGGGGGTAGTGGTTAAGGCGGTAGAGGTGGTGGTGGTGAGGGTAGGGGTGATGGAGACAGCAACAGTGACAGCAGTAGTGGTGGTGGCGACGACGGTGGTGTTAATGGTGGTGGCGGCGTCTGTGGTGGTGGTGGTGATGGTGGTGGGGGTGGTGGTGGTGGTAGAGTGATTTCAAACACTATTTTAAAAAAAAAATATTTATGAGAAATAATTTTTAAAAATACCTTTAAAAAGTCACTTCAAACACACCCTTAAGAGCTTATTTTTCCTATTAAATTTAAAGTATTAATATTAGCCGTTAGATTAATTTTAAAATAAAATTTAAAACAATCTCAACTGCGAATAATAAAAATTATTGTGTTTATTTTTTGAAATTTAAATTGTAAGTTACTTTATTATATATATAAATTATCTAATTCATATACTATTTATTTATTAAATGAATATAAATTATAAAATTGAAGAGTGTCCATTTATCGAAGGAGTCATACGACACAATCCATGTCACTTGAAAATTTTACAACACAAAAAGCTATAATTAAATACCTTAATTATGTACAACAGTGTTATGTTGATCAAAAAAGTGGATCAAAACATAGATTAAAGTTAAATTATAAATGTGTAAAAATGAAACCAATAATATAATTTTGATAGTATCACATCTTTTGATTCCTATTTTTGATCCCGTTTTTTAACAGTCTAACATTACTCAGTTATGCAACATATTATATAATCTATCAAATGGGTAATTTGGTAATAAAAAGTGTAATTTATTTTGTTTTTGATCCATCAAAATGTAATTCGATGAGACACTAATTTATTATTCAGGAACTCAAATGATAAATGAGTTAAGATATTTCCTTCAAAAAAAGGATCTTTTATTACGTGGGATGAACGTGTTTATCATCTGAATTCATTACGGTTAAATCAAAATCCATTAATTTTGTAACAATTCGTGTTGAGTAATTGAATTGTGTTGAATTTTACAAGACCTACCCTTCAAAGTAGGGGTATCAAATATCAATCTAACTCATCGCCACGATACGAATTCAACACGATATAATTTTAAAATTAACACGATTGATAAATACGCATAACAAAAAGAATTAGATTAATATTTAATACAAACACAACACGAATTATAATAATACGGCATAAAAATAGTGACATAAACACGAATTGACATGAAAATACTTCAAAGGTTAAGTCAGATTTTGTTATCTCGTAACCATAAAAAATGCGCTATCTCACATGTGCTTCTGCGTGCCACGAGAAGGAATACCGGTTTGCTTACCTTGTTAACGAAGGGTTTTGTCAATCCTTTCATAGAGAGGCAAACTGAGCTAATGGTAGGAAGAATCGTTGGTTGATAATGTGTCAATTGACTTTTGATTTGAGGGAATTGATATGTATTTTTAGTCACATTTAAGTAATTGACCATCCACAAGTAACTTACATCAGTTATAATTGGTAACCATTTCAATAAGAGCATCATAAGAGCATCAAGTTTGAGGCGTTAGTCCCTAAAAATAACTTGTCTTTGATTACATCTAACTTTCTCATCATTCAGATCATGATGCTTACCATGTCTCTACGTCAAGGGTGGATCATAGTGACCAACAGGTTGCAGGCAACGAGTCTACAAAAGTGATCAATAAAAACAAATCAGGAGGGGAAAGGAAATAGAATCAAAAGAACCAATCTTGTTGTCAATTTTGTGACTAATTTTTAACCATAAGATTGTTTTTCATTAATTTTAAAATGATCTAAATCGTAAAAAATAAAAATAATTTTTATGTCTTTGAAAAATTTAAAATTCTTTATGCTTTATTATATAGATAAAATTGAAAATCCCTATATGTTGGCAATTATGGTAGAAGGGAAATGTTATTTAACTTAAAATGTAGACTTGATCAATCACAATCATTGAATATATAATGAGTCTTAATAAATAGTGGGACCTACAATATGAATTAATTATTCACTCTAATATTTTTCCTCCTAACCAATCACACTATATAATATATTTATATTTATTATATCATATTTGATACATAAAGTCTATTGTATATGTATAAAAAATTGATTAATTATCATCATTGTAAAAAAATTAAGTTAATTATCATTTTTATAATTGAAAAATATTAGTTATTCACTAATAATCCATTAAATTTATTCAATAAACGATGTTCTAAACATTATCACTAAAATATTAGTATAGTAAGAGGTAAACATATTAAAAAAAAATAAAAATCGATTGGCCCATAATAAAGGCTATAATCAATATTCGAATAAAAAATAAAAGACAATTTTCGTAGAAAAAATAAAATCAGATGAAGATCAGTTAAAAGAACTTCAATTGCAAAAATTCATAATAAAATGAAGGTTATCTGAAAAATGCCTTATTATAATAAAAAA